TACTGACCCCCTACAAGTGCCATGCTAACCGCTGTCTCAATATGAAAATGATAGAGAAAGGGCATAACTCCCAAATCGTCGGCGTATTCTTTTCACATAATAATGCGGACTCAGCAGATGACTTGTTAACTGTTTATTTCTCCTTACACCAAACCTACACGGCTGCTTCTCGTTGTTTCCAGTAGCACAACAACGGTTACTACATTACCCAAAATAACTTGAGGCTCACACTACTACGGTAGCCTTAGTAGCTCAAAATACACAACAGATTAGATCAGAACAGAAACACGACAGGAGAATTTACTGAGTAATTTTGCTGTTTCCACTAATTACCTGGACTGACCTGACGTTAGTTAATCCTCTCGCTCTCCAAAACAAATGCATGCGGTAATTGCCAGTTGCAGTCGAGATTTTACAACACCAGGCTGTGGATGTCATACAACTTCGACCAAAGGGACGCTATAATCAACGAAAACGAAAAGTTCCGCACAGCTGCTTTAAAAAATATTAATTTGTCCATTATTTTTTAACATTGAAGTTGTAACAAAGACATAGAATTGTAGTAGTAAAGTGGTAATGACAGTTTGCCTTGTTATATCAAGGCCTGAGGACTTTCTCCTACAAAATTTACAAAGTATTCTGCTCTTTGCAGTTCTTCACATCTGATAGTAATGCTCCACACATTATTCAGTAATTCACTTTAACAGTCAGATTGAAATACTGTATAAATAATTTTACACTTCATGTATAATCTGTAGGATTAGTTGTTTATGTTGTGGTGAAGGCGAATATATCATATATTCATATGCTGTGTTTATCCGTAGCTGTTGACTGATGGATTGGAGAGGCTCAGCATGTGTTTGATCGACACTTTATTCAGTCATCCAGCTCAGCTCTCGAGCTGCGTCCATCAGATTTAAGCCAGTGTCCAAATGGAGAGTGTCAGCAGCACCGTAAACAAAAGAGCTGGATCAACTGAGGTTAACAATCCAGCAGACACCAGCCCGTCTCCATGAGGGGTCACAGGGAATCCTCTTAACCTGGGACTGTGCAGCTAATGTGAAATGTGTGTCCCCCTTTCATGGAAATCACTGGCTCTGCTCAGAGATTATTAAAGAGAGCACAGTCATAAATCCGTGGGAGGTTATTTACCTTTGGTGAAGGGAGCTGGCTCTGTGTGGTGGTGGCGGCAACGACAGCAATGCTGATGTTTTGCAGGCATTTGACTGTATAGCATATAGCTGAGAAGACCAGTAGTAACTCTAGAAAGGATTTTGCTTTCATACTACTTTTTCATCTATTAATACCGACGTTCTCCTAAATCTTCGAATTCAAGACCTCGTAATAGATTGAATTAAAATTAAATATAGCTGCCAGACTGTGCAGTGCTTAATACCCAGTCCGCCCGAGCTGCAGCATGCAGGAGAGAGCTTAAGCAGAAGTCTGTATTAAACGTCTGACACTGTTTCTCCACATCCACTGATGTGTGAGGAACCTTTACAAGTGCAAGTGAGAATGACATCACATTGTCTGTATGTGCAGTGTTATTAAGTGTTATGGAAGGGAATACGGCATGCTTTTTATATGTGCACACCTTGTACACAGCACAGTGCTGCCAGTACATGATCTGCTCTTTAAACACACAAGTTTGGTACATGCACATTGATCTGGAAAATTACGCCTATCTAACGTTGCCTGGCTTTATGCCAGTAAAGAAAATTAAACTCTACAGAGTGTACAGAGATAGAACGAGCATGCTTTGCTGCGCTCTCCGCAGCCTGAAGAGACTGATAATAAACTCTACCCAATGCTTTTATTGTACAAAAGGGATCTCTCAGAATTTATCTGTTGTTCATTCCCTTTGTCATGAATGTCAAGTAAGATTAAAAAAAAAGGCCCACATTTTTTTTTAGAACAGCAGATTATATATTAGGGCTGCAACTAACGACTATTTTGACTGTCGAATAATCTATCATTTTTTGTACAATTCAGATAAACACTGGAAGTTTTTTATGGTTTTATATGATTTAATGAGAAATAAATGACTGATTGGCTCATTTACCATTAATTAATGGCTCTTGTAAAGCTCTCAGCTTTTAAATTTAGCTTGGTGTGGTTTTATGTGTTGGATATCTAAAAATAAAGACTGATTAATAGATGAATACTTTGAAAATAGGTCTTTAAATGAACTTCCCTGCTGATACAGAGGAATTTTCAACTGGAATCCAGTCCTGTCATTGTGTACTAAACAGGTTGCTATAGTAACAGTAGGGCTGTACCCAAATATTCGAATATTCGTTTCTATGGGTAGGTATTCGTTATTAAAATTTGGTATTTCGATATTCTTTTTTTTTTTTGTTGACTTTTTTTTTTTTTTTTACATATTTTTTTGGTGCTAAATGTAGTCTTTTTGTTGTTGGTAAATGTAGGTTATCAATAAAAATCAAGACTTTGCATTGTTAAAAATGTGAAAATATAGTATCGCCTACCAACTGAGCTGCGCACGGCAGGCTTGAGCGCATCTGTTTGAGGCTGTGGATCAATGCCAAGTTTTACCACTTTATCACTATTCCCTCTAACTTGTAGCTGTTTTTTCGTTATCTTTTGAATTTAATATGAATTATGGAACTGTTTTTGTCAACGTTTGATTCCCCTGTTTGTACAATAAATTATTGTTTCAACAAGTTTCTTTTGGAGTGTGTGACACAAGTGTGTTTTGAAAACGACCGCAGACTGTCACCTGTTCAACACATCAGTACCTTCGGATGCCATGACAGTAATAGATTATAGATACAGATTAATCAAAAGAAAGCATAGAATAATGTACTGAAGGAGACTGTTGTGCCATCACATTTTTTTGTGTTTTGAGAGCAAAGATCTGGTTGCCGATGTGTAAAACTCCGCAATACAATTAGGTCCGAAAAAACCCCAGAGGAGTGCTTTGCAAGGAGTCTTTGAAAGGAGCCGAGCCTGGCGTAAAACCGGAGAGAGCAGGCAGCAGCAACCCAATTTTGGCACACATATAGACAGAAGTCATAAATTACTTTGCGATTTACAAATTATCAAATTCTCCAGTGTTCTCTGAACTTGTGTTCTGTGCACTCACCACCCATGACATCAACACATTCTCTAGCCTTAAAGTTTAACGTTGCAGCATCTAAGATTGTAAAGTGGGGGCACATGTGAACAGGGTTGTTTTTTAAATTATAATTATCTGCTAACATGACTCTCAATGCCATTAATTTATTCATAAATAGAAAATGTATTTCAGAAAATAAACATTACAGCTCATAATGTAAGGTAACATGGCTTTTAACGTTAAGCTTACTTAAGCCCCGTTTCTACCGAGCAGTACGGTACAGTTCAGTTCAGTTTAGTACCCTTTTTTTCTGTTTCTACTTTGAAAAGTTGTGCATGGTGCCAATGGAACCGTTCTGTTCCTTCCCAATTTTTGGTCCCCCCTCTGTTGGGGTACTTAGTACACAGATCTGGTACTAAAAGGTGGAGCTGTGAACATTCTGCTCAGGGCTGAGTTGTGGCTGGTTATGTAATCACTGTTCATACCATGGAGAGTTTTATTAGTGAACTGTAACTATAAAATGAAAGGATGTTTTGCTGATTCTCGCAGCAGCTGGAGTCGTAGAAAAAATAACTTAATTCACTGGGCCGACTGCCGGCAACTTTTAAGGTGGAACGCTACCCTGTTACGTTACTAAATCCATGAGTTGATGACGTGAAACCATCAGCACACCTTAAATTCCTCTGTGACAACTTTGACCATCACTTTAGTTTTCATATGACATACACTTTTAGTAATGAGTGAATCTTCAAGTGTTTATATGTATTCATTTCGACCGGGTTATATTCTAATCCTCATGCGGAGAAAATAAAAAGCGTTGCGGAGCGTCGTTCCTGTGGGCTCCAGTGACACTAAACCCCTGAATTTGCTTGAGAAGGACTAAATACACAAATGCGGTATTTTTAAATATCCCATGGAGAGAGACTCTCACTGCAGCCTGTTTTATTTTGTCGGCGGGCAACTTCGTTCTGTGGACGATAATCAAGGTGCAGACTTCCATCTGTGTCACAAGTGATGAGGAAATAAAGTGGGTGCGGGATGGAGCAGTGAGTGACAATAAGCCCGCTCACATATAAGGGTACTGTTTGTGGTGGAAACGCTGGGGTCTTGGTACCATGTCTGAAGGGTTATTTTTGGTTCCAAAGGTATGTGTTTGGTGGAAATTTTAGCTAACTAACAAGCTAACTAACTTATAGAGAGGATTCTTTATCATCCAGAGAGCCAACATGCCTCCTGTTAAGATGCTCCAGCATAACTGATGTGGTCTCATGTCAGGCAAGGTCAGCTTTGTAAATGCTACAGGTAACAACCTTTGTAGCTGAGTTAACACTAAATTTTCCCCACACATTGGAGGGTTTTGATTGTAAATGTGCTGCCATCATGCTGTTGTTAACGTTGTAAACGTTGCAGCCCTATTATATATTTATATAAATGATCAAAGAAGTTAATTTCATATACATATACAGTTTGTACTAAGTAGATCATTCTTCTTCATTGAAGCTTACTTTGTAGTCAAAACAGCGCTATATTTATAATGTATTTGTTCAACTTTTGCACTCTTACCTCTGCCCCGAGTTCTTGAAAAACCACCACAACCTTTTTTTTTTTTTTCTCCACTGGTTAGAACAGGGCACACAGCCAACAGACTGGGGTCAGGGAGGTCAGTCTGCACTCATTACTATCTGCCCCATTTGAGAGGTGGTGTGGAGCATTTGTAATTTGGTGGTCTTATATAACGTAGTAGTTCCTCTTATATTGTTTCTTTATTAAAAATATGACTGAATAAGACTGTATATACAAAGTGATTTATTTTTGCAGTGAAGTTTGCAATTAACTTCTCACCCCCTTGGAGAATAAAACAATAAGGGGTTTGATTTCTCCTCACCTTTTTTTTTTTTGTCTTGCCTCTGCTGTGTTACAGCGGTAATATCTCGGAGCCATGAGGGTCCAGGGGAGATGGGCAAGGCAGTAAACATCCCCAAGGACGACCAGGAGAAAATGAAGGAGCTCTTTAAGATTAACCAGTTCAATCTAATGGCGAGCGACATGATCGCACTCAACAGGAGTCTGCCGGACGTGAGGTTGGATGGGTGAGTAAGCTTGGGTGTCTTCCAGATGCATGCTGTGAATCACACTGCTGACCCTTTAACACCTACACAGGCATACAGACCAGACTAGCCTTGCACAGTCCTCACCCTGCTCCTCCGCTGCCTGCAAAACTTTGGTACCTTTGATACCAATCACACATTGCAAGGCGCTGTGGTTTCTTTATGAAAGAGTTGACATTCTGGCTGATATTTTCAACTTTTGTCTTCTTTATTTCTTGGGATTTCACTCCTTGAAGAAGTATTTCATTGCTGGAAAATGGCCTTTTCATAAAACTGGGCTGTCTATGCTGTAGACAGAGGCGAATACTTTTGAAATTGGTGGTGTATGATGAGAGAAAACAGAAACAAAGGACTGTGGCATTTGCTTTTTTGCACAATAGGTAGAAAACCTACAACTACCAGAATGCACTGCATCACACTAGACCAATAAATGCTCCCACTGATGGGCAACGTAATGCGAGCGTGGCCGTTTTTCCACAGGAAACAACATGGCGACCAGTTGCTAACAAATGATCTTCAAGTACATTTAAACAATACGCTAAATACACTGCTTTGTTTTACCACTGATTTTAGTTTTTTAGCCTCCGTTTTACAATACAGTATGGCGCCCACTTCCTGCTCACAAACTTTCATATTACTGCCAAACAGTGCACTCAAACATGTTTCTGAAGAAGAAAGAAGAGCAAGAAATATACAGGCAAACAGAATCTTGGTTTGTATTTGATCAGCTTTGCCTAGTTTTACTACTCTGAGTTTGAGAAAGCCACAGAGAGGAAGAGGCTACAGTATACTCTTTGTGTCTGTTGTGGCGGACATACAGAAATGCAGTACAATCTGTACTTTCTGTGACAGCACTCGAGCCAACAAATAAGCAGGGAGATCTGGGCACTGGCTAGATGAAGGGAAGTTTAACATAGTTTATTTACACATACTGCCCACTGTTAACTTCGTTATCACACAAAACTGTATGAAAACTGGCAACGTATCCATTTAATGTGTGCAAACTTGTATGCCGGGTTCATTAGAAACTGTTCCAGTATTTAGACAAATGTGTTGGATGGCTCAGCAAGACAGCAGAGATTCGTTCTCTTGTCAAGAGTCTCAACAGGGTTGCAGACAGTGATGCAGACAAAATGCTCCAAACTACCAAGGCAAGATTATTCTAATGATTAAAGTATTTTTTAAACTGTTTATTGAGTCAGTTAGATTTTATTGGGCCTAATAACATTATCTAATGTGAAAAGACATCACTAATTACGGCCGCCGTTTCACTGCAGAATCCATCAGATCTCTCAAGTGTGTACATTATCCCCGACATTTGAATGGGAGTGGGGTTTTGTTTACTGTCACTCAAGATCCACTTGAGCACTTAATGAAAATCCAAGGAGCAATTTGTGTGAAACATGAGCACATTCGTCTCGGGCTGCTGATATGCACCGGCATTCGCCTCTCGTGGAGACATTATCCAAGTGATTCATGTTTAAATATTCCAACTGAACACGAGTTCTCCACAGCACTTTCATTAAGTGGATGCCAAATGCTCTGCCAGTCAGACACCATGAGAAATAGGCCACAAGAATGTCTTTTTTTCACACCTACATTCCACAGTTTTCTTGCCTATACGAAGAAAATGCCAACTCTAAGACTTTTTGCAACATGGAGATGCAAATATAAAGACCATTTTGCCTGCCTAGTGCAAAAGAAGACCTATATTTCTGAGAGGAAGTGAACATTCAGCTGATTGCAACATTTTTTTTCTGTCCATTATGGCTCCATCCTTCTCTCAGTATAAATATTACAGCAGTTTTATTACAGAACACAGCTTAGCTGTGCAAAATTTCTCCAGTTGTGTGGTGAAAATTATCCAGAGCTATGCAGAATTGCCAGTCGTTGCCTCTGAACGGCAATAACATTTTGTCTTGAAGGCAACCTCCTGGCCTAGTTGTGTCAGTCAGTGCTGTCGCTTTGAATAGACAGGACTGAGCTAGCTGTGTTGTCTGCTCCAATGACTTCTTTCACCCTCCGTCACCTCCCAATGCCCCTCCTCCTGCCCCGGCCATCCACCTCTTCCACTCCTGTAATGCAGCTCATTCTTTATTCAACATCATTCATGCCATCCCAACTTTGCCACATTCTCAGTCTTTGGCTTTGACAGACAGCCCATCAAGCTGAGGACGTGCTGACGTAGCTGTCAGCACCGGTTTTACTTTTTCTACTCTCTTTAGAGATATTTGTCAGTGAATCTCGTGTGACAGTGTTTCTGCACTGATGGCAGGATTGAATAGCAGCGGGATACTCTCAGATTCTCTTCTCAGACACTTTTGATACAATATAATGAGCTGCAGGCGCAGAGTACCACTGAGACTACAGTATGTAGACAGGGTTTATTTTAGGTTTAGGTATAAGAATACAAGTGGTTATTTTCAGGTATTATATTAGTCACAGTTAAGTTTAGCTGCTACTAATGATTTTTTTTAGTTTTGTAGAATAAATGAATCATTAAAGTATAAATTTAAGACATCCATATTCAATTAAAAATATTTGACACTTGAGAAGCTCTAAACAGCAAATGTGTGAGATTCTATGTGTTATAGGATTGATATATGACCAAAAATGTTATTGATTATATCTGTTTCTTTTTCTGAACAACAACTCAATGTGAATCAGGGTTTTATCTGTAAGTGGTGAACTCTAAACAGTGGTTCCAAACCTGAGGGTGGGGACCCTCACAAGGGGACCTTACGTGAATCTAATGGCTCGTTAAATGATTACAGATGAGTAAATAATTTGAGCTTCAGACCATCTTAGTAAAGACTGTTTCACTGAAATTGCATTGCTAGGCAGCAGCTTTGGTCCATGGTTACTTCCTGTTAGTTGATGGCGTTCACATACACTGCAAAACATTACAACAGGAAATACAAAGAGACCCATTCAGACTGTTCATCTTGTCAAGTTTGATACGGTCTATAGGATCACACCGGCCGCTATACCGTGATCCGCAACTTAAAATGAATGTGGGCCAGGTGCATTAAGTGGGGGAGCCACTGGCCCCTTCCTTACTTCCAGCTCGATCTTGGCCTTCAGTTTGCTCTCAACTACACACATGTAAAGCATTTTGTGCATATTGTGTCTGCTTGATCTGTGTGATGATACTGAGGTGACAAAATCTGTCCACAGACAGACAAGTTTACAGACATATGAACACTTGTGGAAGTACTCAAAACCGCCACATTTCGCCATGATGACACGCACACGCACACACACACACACACACACAGACTCACAAGGTGAAAACAGTACCAGTTTTTTTATTGTGTCACGGCTGGTTAAAAAAACCCTTTTGCTTCACAATAATCAACCAATAATCACTTTCTGTTTTGTGAATTGATTTTTTTTTTTTTTACCTCTACAGGCATCTAGAAAATGTTAGAATGAAATAATGAGAGAAACTCTTAAACTGAACTGCTCACATGTTCAAACTCATGCAGTAGATGTGCGCCCTGTCATGAGAGGTCATAAGTAGACATGGCTTTATATTCACTGCCGTTATACCCATAGCTCAGTGAGACTGTTTAACTAATTACTTGCTGTTCAGTTTTACTTCACCGACCTCATTTTGTCTTCTGTTGCTTCATCAGCTGTAAGACCAAGCTGTATCCAGATGACCTGCCAAACACCAGCATCGTCATCGTGTTTCACAACGAGGCGTGGAGCACACTGCTGCGGACAGTTCACAGTGTCATCAACCGCTCTCCCAGACACTTGCTAGTGGAGATTGTGCTAGTCGATGATGCCAGCGAGCGAGGTTGGTAGTCTTCATCCCAACTACTATCTGATGTAGTATCTGACAGAATCACAGGTTTAACTCTGGAGGCAAGGATACAGGACCTATGTTTTGAATTTGAGTAGGCTGATGATTACTGTGAACAATAAGAGTAAGGCTCTAATCAATAAACTTAGAATATAAGAAATAATGAATACAGTGTAGCTTTTTATCACTGTCACATGGATCTGATAATAAATACAGTCAACTAAATTGAAATGTAGAGCTGCAAATAACACTTGTTTTTGTTTTGGATTAATCAGCCGATCAGCTGACAAATTTGTTTCAAATCTCAAATACCTCCAGAAAAAAATGGGATTGATTTACTGATTGATTGGGGACTGCCTTTAACAACAAAAAACTATATCAAAACATGCGTTTAGAAACTCCCACACAACTCATGCAGTAAAAACCAAGTCTCAGTTGTATGCTCAGTGCTTCCCAGACACATGCATTTTCGCTCAATCTTTACTATTCAGAACTGAACTGAAAGTGAAACTTATGTATGCTCTGCTCAAGCCAAAATCCAACAACAAGTCTGCATGTGGTTGGGAAGTACTGTGCATACGACTTGGATTATACTCCGCCACCAACCTCCAAGGCTGAAAAATGAAGCCAATGCAGCGCCAAAAGCCGCAGTTACTTGAATGGCCATTTGAGGCTGGCTCCAGAAGTCAGACAACCCCCATAGACCCCTATGGTGAACGCCCAACTTTACAGCAGAAATAAACATGTTTACAGCCTGGTACAACAAATGGAATTGGTCTCTTAACTTTAAGAACAACTGTAAAGGGGTAACTGTATAACTCATCCTTATACATATTATTAAGGCATAAAGTTATCCATAAATTAAGATCAGGCTTTCTGCCGATAGTGTCCTCGGCTTCTCAGTCAGATCCACCCTTGGCTTCTCCACAGCGCCAGCCTTTTGCCCCAGTACAGTCAATTCTGGCTCCAAAAAAAACAAGATGCCGACAGCCAAAATGATCTTGAGGCTTTAAAATTGAAGCCCACAAACATGAAATTATAGTAGCTACGGCCATTATTTTATTCAGTCTATGATTACACTGTATGAGTTGGGTAAGAGTTTGTGAATAGATGTTCAATATAGTTTTGTTATTGTCAAAAATGTCACCCAATCACTCAATAAATCAGTATGATCTGCGTTTTCTGAACTCAAGGTTGCACAGCATGCACTCTGCAGGTGCACCTTTGCTGAAATATCTGTTGTTTTGTCTCAGACTTTCTAAAGAAGAAGCTGGAGAACTATGTGCGGACTCTGGAGGTGCCAGTGAGGATCCTGAGGATGGAGCAGCGTTCAGGTCTAATCAGAGCCAGGTTGAGGGGAGCAGCTGCCACCAAAGGTCAAGTCATCACTTTCTTGGACGCTCACTGCGAGTGTACTGTTGGCTGGCTGGAGCCCCTGCTGGCGCGCATCAAAGAGGACAGGTGGGAGCCCAAATGAACCACACTTGATGTTTCAGGTTTAATGATGACATTCAAGATGCTGATATGAAATAACAACAAGGTTCTATGTCTTAGAAGCAGTTGCTTCGGTGCTGATGGGCTTTTCATTGTCAGTCACTTTAATCTTTTGCCTGAAACATGCTTTAGTAACACTGGCATTATCACATTTCACTTCAGTTGCATCATCGTGTGCTTGAGCCAAAGCTCTATCTGAATATTGATGGGACAGCAAACTATCAGTTATGAATACACAGTTTGAGCCTGACGCTGCTGATCGGAGAAGATAATCATTTTGCATCGTTTGCTTCTGCTGCTGCCTCGGAGGTAAAGCTAGCTCCAGTTACTGTAGCTTTGTTTTTGTGTTAACTCTGGAGCTAGTAGACACTGGTAAAGTCAGGATAACGTGGACAAAGACACATTTAGAGACAAATATGATGTGTTAATTTATAGTGACAAAGCATTGACTTGATTTATGTAACATATGACAACATTAAGGTATTATTTCAGGATTTTTCTTCCTGCCTTTTAAAAAAACAGAGGGTGTATCTGCGGTGTGTGTGAGAGTGACATGAATAGATGGATAGATTGATAATGATTCTCCTGCGATCCATCTCATATCTGAGGTCAGACACATTCATTTTCCCTCAGGGAAGAAATCAGTATCATATGACTCAGAATATTATATTATGGAGCCATTACACTTTTACTGAATGCTGCTGCAGATGTATTGATGTCTACAAGTATGAGCGCAGACTGATGAGATGGTGCAGAGTATATGGTGCGTTAACTGCAAGATCACATGATTGATGATACAGGTTGTTTTCGTAGCTCCAAAGAAGGACTGAGGCAGTTAGATTTTGTCCGATTCTTAAATACACTGGCAAATGTATTCAAAATGCAGTTGACTGTGTTTCACTGTTGTGTGAATTTCATCAGAAAAAAAATCCAGTAACTAATTTTGCTAGGTTGTAATTACAAAGCTCATGATATTGTTATATTATCTTACAGTTACACTTGAAATTCAATAACAATAATATCAAAATTTTGATGTCAAAGTGAGTAAATTAGTTATCATTAGACATAACACACTATGATAAAGGACAGACTTTACAATTTACTTTGATATACATTGATCAGCTAAAACATTACAACCATTGCGGGTGAAGTGAATAACTTGGATCATCATCTTGTTACGATGCAGTGTTCTGCTGGCAGATCTTTGGTCCTGGCATTCAGGTGGATGCGATCCACCCACCCAAACACCATTGCAGACCAAGTACACCCCCTCATGACAACAGCACTCCCTGATGGCAGTGCCCCCTCTCTAGCAGAACAATACACCATGCCGCTCCGTAAAAACTGCTCAGCAATAGCCTGAGGAACGTGACAAAAGGCTCAAGGCATCAACCTGGCCTCCAAATTCCCCAGATCCCAAACTAATCAAGCATCTGTGAGACGTGCTGGTTCCCCACCTCACAACCCACAGGTCTCAAAGGTTCTGATGTCAACACCCTGGTGCCAGACACCACAGGTAACCCCCCCGAGGTCCTGTGCCTCAACATGTTAGAGCCAAGCCAGATCCAATGAAGCTCAACTGTGGATTGGAAATACCTGTAGGGTACCACCACATCCCATGGATGCTTGATCAGATTGAGATCTGGGGATTTTGGAGGCCACTTTGATGCCTTGAGCTCTTTGTCATGTTCCTTGGCCCATTTCTGAGCAGTTTTGCAGTGTAGCATAGTGCATTGTCCTGCTGTGGGGCCACTGCCATTGGGGAGTGCCATTGCTATGATGTACTTGGTCTGCAATGTGTTTGAGTGGAGCGCGTCAAGTGGCATCCACATGAATGCCAGGACCAAAGCTTTCCCAGCAAAACATTGGATTGAAATGAGATGGTCAATGTCATTCACTTCACCTGCCTGAGGTTTTAATGTTTTGTGTGATCGGTGTATTTGCAGGCTGGTCCTTTATGGTTAAGATACCCCAATTGGCCAATTAACTGATTAGTCAAACAGAAGGTTAAAGGTCCAGTGTGTAGGATCTAGTGGCATCTAGCAGTGAGGTAGCAATACTAAAACGTCTCCCATGTGCCAAGCGTGTAGGAAAACTACGGCAGCCGACATGAAAACCTGAATGGCCCTCTCTAGAGCCAGCAATGATTTTGTCCATTCTGGGCTACTGTAGTCTATGTAACATGGCTGGCTTTGTGAAAGAAGACCCACTCAGTATGTAGATATAAAGGGTTCATTCTGAGGTAACAAAAACACAACAACTTTTAATTCTAAATTATCATAAACTATAAACTAATTAAAGCATTGTTGTGATTATTATTTACCAGCTCTGCCAATAGATGTATCTAAATCCTACACGAGGGACCTTTAATCAGCAAAAGTTTTGCTAATGGATTAATTAAGCAACCAAAAATATGTAAGATTTGCTGCTTTTTTTATTTAATATTGTTCTAATTTGAATATCTTTGTGTTCTGGACTCTACCAGACAAAACAAGACATCTGAAGATGCCGCCCCTCACTTAATGGCTGCTATTTTCCCCTCCTTGTTTCCTCTTCATTGCAGCTTTCACTTCAAGAACTCATCAACAAATGAACATCCAGTTGATTGAAACTTTTCTGTCCATTATGATGAATAAAATATCCACAGATGACTCAGTAATAAAAATAATCATTAACTGCAGGCCTGGTGTGTTCAGTACTTGGCTCCTCTAACCTTTAAAAGACCAGCCATTATCTAATTTGCTCTCATTCAGAGTGTGTATGCTCCTTTATGTGGGTTGTGATGTAGAAACCACAATAAAAATAAAACCTCCACACCTTTCATCATATGCATTATCTGTTTTTTATCTTAATCAGGGCAGCATTTACTATAGACCGTTTCAAACTTAACAACATCAACACTCTTGGAATGTTTGTTAAGGCGGTGGCTGACAAGGAAACTATATTCTACAGTTTCCTTGGTAGCTGTCAGGAAGTAAACAGAGACCAAAGCTGTTGGCCTGGCAACGGAATAGGAATAATTAAACTCAGCATTGAATCTTACACTGTATTTTTTATTTTGTGTCTCTCAGGACAGCAGTGGTGTGCCCCATCATCGATGTCATCAGCGACGAGACGTTCGAGTACATGGCAGGCTCAGATATGACCTATGGTGGATTCAACTGGAAGCTGAATTTCCGCTGGTACCCTGTTCCCCAGCGGGAGATGGACCGACGCAAGGGGGACAGAACACTTCCTGTCAGGTACACATAGAAAACATCCGTCTTCAAAATCTAGATCATTTCTCAAGGGAATATGTGACTGACTTTCGACTTGTGCAGTGTCTTCTGATGAGGAATTAAGATAGAGGGGGTCAACGTACACACAAAAAAGGTGAAGAGACAATTTTCCTAAGTTCAGACAGATGTTAGTTTTAGTTTCTCATCTGGGCTGAGAGTGGGTTTATCTGTGACGGCAGCAGGCTACAGAAGACATGGATAGTTAGATTTCTCCGCACAATAAAAAGTGCCATTTTTATCCTGCAGATAGAAATAGATCTTTTTCCCTCTGTGTATCCCACTGTGCAAGCAACTGCCGAAATAGCATCCTGATACTTGTGATTGTGCTCTGCTGAAGTCCAAGTACATATGAGCGCATTTATTTTAAAAATAGACAAACAGAAACTCTGCTGACAGTTGCCATTTTTGGGGGGCTACACAAAGCAAGGCACAGTTTGTCATCTGTATGCAAATCACTCCCAGCAACAAACAATATCCTTAATTAAGGGCCAACTTTAACATAGAATGAATTAAAAGATAAAAGTAATTACCCTTCTAAGGCTTTGTTTCAAATTGTCAAACAAATTGGTCTTTTATTATTTTCTGAATGTTCCCTCAGAGTTACACCAAGGTACTAATAAATACGGCACAAAGACACACATTTACAATAGCATTTTTTTCTTGTCTTGCAGGACTCCCACCATGGCAGGAGGATTATTCTCCATAGACAAAGCATACTTTGAAGAAATAGGAAGCTACGATCCAGGGATGGATATCTGGGGCGGAGAGAACCTGGAAATGTCTTTTCGGGTGAGTGACAGTCTGGGGAGGAAGGTGTCTCGATTTTATCATGTCATCATGTTGGTTGATGTCAACGGGTACACGCCAGCATCCTTAATCCACATTTCCCTCACCTGCATCTCCTCGTGGAATCATAGCCGATTTCACTTAAAATCACAAATATGTATTTTTCTTCTCACTTGTAGTGCTGTTTATCAGTCTAGATTGTTTTGATGTGGGTTGTCGAGTGTTGGAGATATCAGCTGTAGAGATGTCTGCCTTCTCTCTGATATAATGGAACTAGATGGCACTGGGCTTATGATGCTCAAAACACCAAAAAATACATTAGAAAAACTCGACAGCAATATCTCTTTCCAGAAATCATGACCCAGTTACTCAAGATAATCCACAGACTTACTTGTTGTGAGCAGTTTCATGGAGGAACTATTTTCCGCACATCTACTGCTAGCTCACCTAGCACTACTGAGCTAGCTGACGTTACAGCTCAGCCAGTAAGGACGCCATTGATGTTTACATTTGCTGTTGTCACGAGCATGGGCCTCTTGTCCATGAGTAGATGCATGCCTCCTTCTGTCCAGTGATACATTTGGTGGGTGTAGTTTGGTAGAAAGAAAGTAGTTCCTACATGAAACTGCTCACAGCAAGGTCTGTGGATTATCTTGAGAAACAGGGTCATGATTTCTGGAAAGAGACATTGCTGTTGAGTTTTTCAAATGTACTTTTTGGGGGCTTTGACAGCACAAGCCCAGTGCCATCTAGTTCAATTATATTCAAGAGAAGGCAGACATCTCTACGGCTGATGTCTCCAACACTCTGCAACTCACACCAAAATAATCTAGACTGATAAATAGAACTACAGATAAGAGGAAAAATATGTATTTTAGAGTTTAGGGTTAGCTGTCTCTTTAAGACTAAAGGGAGAGATTTAAGGAAGGAGGAATCATAGAAATACATATTTAGTAAAATGACATGATCTTACCTCTCAAAATAAAATAAAAAATAGTAATCCACATTCTGATTACAATGTCTCTTAATCTTTAAAAAAGATGTTAATAGCTCACACCAAATTGCACTGTGATTGATCTGCAGCTTCATGCATGACTGAATGGAAATGATGCAGATAGACGGTTTAAAGTGTTTTAAAGACAACAGGCAGCAGTTACAAGGCGAAATATTAGAGTCCAGACTAAAGCCCCCCTCCTGCTCTCCTGGTCTAATAAAACACAGGATGAAAGAGAAATGAGAGATTATAAAAAGAAACCTTGATGACATGAAACACAACAAGAGCATGAAATGATGTTAAATGCTTTCTTTCTTCCATGCCACACGCAATATAAAGCTACAATGTGTGTGTCTGCAGATCTGGCAGTGCGGTGGCTCATTGGAGATCATAACATGTTCGCACGTGGGCCATGTTTTCCGGAAGGCCACCCCATACAGTTTCCCCGGTGGAACGGGCCAAGTCATCAACAAGAACAACAGGCGCCTGGCAGAAGTCTGGATGGATGATTTCAAGGACTTCTTCTATATCATATCACCAGGTACAGAGCTGTCTGACTGTCTCTCTGCCACTGGAACAGCAGCGTCACATATAGACGACTGTTCTGACATGGCATGAACTCTGCATGTTTTAAAAGTTTGAGGCAGTATTTAGTTCAGTCAGGAATTACATAGATGTTTTATTCATTGTGCACCGCCGCTTAAAAGCAGATATGAACAATCCTCATTACCAGGCCTCTCTTTGCAACTTGTGTGCTCGCTGATATTACATTTAACAAATTGGTGTGAAAAGGAAAGAAGTGTCTGCTCGCTTTTATTCTTTCTTTCTCTTGCATGGTACTTTTATCTTGCTCATTTAAGAATTTATATTTCTCCTTTTGCTCCAGCTCACATTGGTATTGAACGCTGCTTTTGTTGTATCCAAACTGGGATTAATTAATTCCTTTACTTTCCGACACATTTTCTCAGTTCTGCTCTGAACTTGAGTTCAGAAATTTGACATAGATGGTCTCGTCTCAACACAGACTTGTCTCAGACAGAGCACAAACACACACCGGACAATCCGGAACAATAGGATAGTCTAGATTGAGAGATGAGTACCCCTCCATCTGTCGACTTAGTAATGTGATTACCCTTTAGCAGACAGCAGTGCCCCGGAAATCTCTGGTTAAGTGTTTTAGATGCCAGCCAACCTATGAGGGATCATCCGTAATCTGACGATCTCATGGCTCAAATTGTGACCTTCTCCTCCGTGCAGTCAGGCAGGATTCTCCTACAGGCAGGTGTGGAGGCAGAGCCGCGGTCGTGATGGATGAGTCTTTCTGCGTATTGTGGCCCCACAATGACCGTCTGTTCCTCCAGGACATTAGGGAGAATGATCTGGGCCACGCTGCTGCCAGACCTCGCTTATTGGCACAGAGGAACGCAGTATGCTGCTCAGGCTGAGTTTGGGAGTGGCATCTAGTGATCCTATTAAAAGTGCATCTCCCTCCACGTCCCTCCTCGGCACTGGTGATTTCAAGATCAAAGGGGCTATTCATCATCTGCAACATGTGATGTGCAGACCCTACAGAGGGAGAAAGAGGGAGAGAGAAGGAGGAAATAGAGAGCAAGGGGAGGAAGAGTGGCCCTCAGCTCTTGGCTTTTATCTGCCAATTTGAAATTTCTATTCTCCAGATTAAAGTGTAGGATGTTGTTGGTGTTACAGAAGGTGCTGTTTGCATTGTCTGGCTGGTGTTGGATAAATACACAGCGCTGCAGCTCTTACATGTTGGCTGGTTTTTGAATATTGTATCCTATTTTGCCTTATTGCAATCAGACTCTTTGATGATAAATTACCAGGCTGGATCTTTCTACATGCAAGCTACAGTATGAGTCCTCAAGAGGCACTCTGGGGAGAAACCATCTGCCTAATGTGTTTGTAAGTGTCTGTGCCCAGTTGCTGTCTAATCCTTCCTTCATCTTCAGTGGCATCAAGGCTGATACATCGTGCAGTCTCCGTTTTGGCTAAAATAACAAACATCATGGCACATGGCACTACACAATTATTGCATTTGCGCATTTCTGAAGGAGGTGCCTTATTTAGAAATACACTGTGTGTGTATAAATGGGATGTGACTTAGTCTCCTGACATGCCTCTGTGCAGAAATTAGATGATTTGTGTGGTAGAAAATCTTCCAAGACCACCCACACAGTCCATATTTTCAGGTAGGGTTGCAAGGTGTTTCTTTTTTTTCTTATTATAAAGGGTCCCTCTGGTGTTTAGTCTTGGTGGTGCAAGAACACAGGGCTGTTCTTTATGTTTTCAGAACAAAAAAAAAACTAAACACTGACTGATAAGCCAACTGGAGTCTGGAGCATGTTCCAGGAGACGTCACCGATGACATCAATGAATTCACTGTGGCTGTGGTGGATTTAATATGTAAAACAACAAAAGCAGCTGTACACAAAACTACAGATAAATCATTCCACAAACAGAAACCATGGATAAACACATACACTACAGCCAGTTTGGAAGCATGGACATGAATTATTATTAGTATTATTATTATCACTACTTTCACTACTACTACTTTGATTAATATTTTAATTATATTTTTTTTTTGATGCAAACAAAAAAAACAGTAGTGGATTTGAAGGTACAACCATGATTGGAACAGAAGAAAATAACAGACAAGGAAAACAAGGTGACATACAACCTTTAACATGGTATATATAGAACAAAACAAACAACAACAACAAAAAAATGAGATAATTGTCCAAATAATTATAATAATATTTTGCAAAAGCAGTTAAATTTGGGAAAATTTATAAAATATGGTGCACATGTTTATTTGTATGATTGTGGGTGTGTGTAAGGTGAAAAATCAATTTAAAAAAAACATGATGGGGTTAATTAATCAAAAATAGCAACAATCCATATACTAGTGATAGGCAACACGGTGGTGCAGCATTGTCATCTCAAAGCAAGAGGGTTCTTGGTTTGAACCCCAGGGTGGGGGAGCCCTTCTGTGTGGAGTTTGCATGTTCTCCCCATGTCAGCATGGGCTTTGTCCAGGTACGCCAGGGGCCTGTATCACGAAGCAGAATTAATGTCTTAGCGAGGTAACTTCAGGGTTAACCCTGGGTTTTCGGTCTCACGAAGCCGGTTAAGTTCTAATCGGGATAGATCACCATGGTAACTTACTCTGAACGGCTATCCTGCTCCGGAGCAGGGTAAATTCAGGGTTGAATCTGATCCTATAAAAAGCACCACCCACTGGCCAATCAGCTGTTCGGAAAAAAAATGACTCCGCTGACAGAAATGCAGCCCAGTCATGACGGGAAGTTTAATTCATTTGAATGATTTTGATTTGAAAGTTTATTTTGAACATTAAAAAAAAGAAAAGAAAGCAACAACAACAGACAATGAAAAGATTGTTCAAAAAGGAGTGGAAAGAAGTCGAAATTTCATCCCACCCCTTCATAAGAAAGAAACTGATAATTTGCGGACACTTAATAACGCCATTAATTAACATTTTGTTTTGTTGGAAGAAATGATCCCTGTTAAAGATAATGGGCCTAACTGACAGCTTTGCTGCTGGAAATGTGGAAAGTAGCCTATCATGTCTACACTTCATGGTGTTTGAGGGATTTCCTTTTTGTTTTTTAAAGAGGGAGACTAGGTATATTTCTGCGCAGCTGTTAATTTCTAACACAGCTCAATATCAGGATGATTTTATTCAAACTATCAATTTGGTGTTGATATGATTTAATTGTGGCGTCAGCTTTAAGCTTTATTGTAGCATATATAACTTTATGACAAAGAAGACCAATTTATCAGACGCAATGATGTTAGACGATAATTGTAATACACGCAATTCATCTGCGCAGCATTGATTTCATGGGATTCAAGGGTGTGATCAGTGTCAGATGTACAGGTACAGGTACTGTAGCTACTTGAACCAGTGATGAGTAATTTAACCTACCTTTGTCTTGATTTTTCCCTCTCTCCTCCTCTATTTCTTCTTCTCTTACCCGTTTTTCTTTTTTTCTTCTCTATTATGTGATTTCATTAATGTTTTGACAGTGGACTTCCTTGATAAGCTTTTAGTGGCTTCTAACCTCTCCAGCACTTTTCTTTTTTAATCTTGTAAATGTTATACTGTCTATTTTTAACATTGTGTGCAAATAAACTAATCTAAACTAAAACTAAACATTATTCATCCCATTATGCGTTGCCACGCATGTTTCCTCCTCCTGCAGCTGCCACGGTGTTGGCCTTTTCTGTAATGTTGCTTTTCTCCTCCTCATATTTTAGTAGAATTAATCTCTGATCCTCACAAGAAATACTTTTTTACCCCTCACATACGGCGCTCTGTGACGCTCAGTGACGCTGCGCTTCTCTCATGATTGTGATGGGTCCGCTGCGTGCGCGTTCAAGGCTCTTGATAAAGCAACCCTGGGTTGAGTTACCGAGTTGATATCCAGCGTCGTGATACCGATTATCCTGATTGCCATTGTTAGGGTTAGTCAACCCAGGATAGGTCTGGGTAACCCAGGAAAGGTTGATCTCGCTTCGTGATACAGGCCCCAGCTTCCTCCCACAGTCCAAAGACATGCAGGTTAACCGGTGACTCTAAATTGTCCGTAGGTGTGAATGAGTGTGAATGATTGCCTATCTCTTTGTGTCAGCCCTGTGATAGTCTGGTGACCTGTCCAGGGTGTACCCTGCCTCTCGCCTAATGTTAGCTGGGATAGGCTCCAGCCCCCTTGTGACCCCTAACAGGATAAGCGGTTACAGAAAATGAAAGAAATGAATGAATACACTAGTAATACAATTACAGTTATACATATAAATAAATAAAACAGCAGCGTGGTAATAGTAACGAAGGAATGAAAAACAGTGAGATAAATCATCTGTCTGAAATGTAGATGTGTCAGCTGATAAGGAGGGTCCTGGCAGGGAGGTGGGGTCAGTGATGTCACCATCAGTTCATGGACAGTTAAAAAGCAGCAGCCTAAAATGTAAGAAGAGGCAAACATGTAGTAAATTGCAATGCACAACAGGGCTGCAATTAACATTTATTTTCATTGTCGACTAATCTGTCGATTATTTCTTAAATTAGTCGACTAATCATTTTATCGAAAAATGTGTTGAAATGTTGAAAAATGTCAGCCTGTCTCTCCCAAACCCCAAAATGATGTCATCTAATGTCTTGTTTCGTACTCATGCCAAAGGGTTTTAGTTCATCATCATGGGAGAGTATGTAAAGCTGCCAATATTTGAACATAAGAAGCTGCAATAAGAGTATTTTGGGGTACTTTTATAGTACTTTTCTATGAAAAATGACTCAAACCGATTAGTCAACTACTAAAATAGTCCGATTATTTTGATAGTCGATTAGTCATCGATTAGTCGACTAATTGTTGCAGCCCTAATGCACAAGTTGAAGGAGTTGACTGGATCACATTTCACTGGAGTATAACTTGTATGATGTCGTGTGACAAATGAATGATAACATGAAATGATGTTCATTGATGCATATAGCTGAATCTTTGTCTTGGCGTTCTGTCTACAGGTGTGATGCGGGTGGACTACGGAGACGTCTCTTCTCGTAAAAACCTCCGCGAGGCCTTAAAGTGCAAACCGTTCTCCTGGTATCTAGAGAACATCTACCCAGACTCCCAGATACCGAGAAGATACTACTCACTTGGTGAAGTATGAGCTTTCTCCTACTCTGATCTCCCATAATTTAGCGGACTGCCTCGCTCTGCATTCAGTCAGATATGTCCTTGCGGGTTCTGGGCTGTTTTTTTTTTTTTTTCTTTTTTTTTTTTTTAGATAAATCAGAAAATCTCAGGATCCAGCAAAGACTGAACAAAACCAGATAAAAACAAACATCCCCGGCTGTTCGTATTCAACGTGTAGGATAAACAAACAAGGGGATGTTCGTGCAGTCAGTATTGATCCCAGTCACATGTTTACACAGTTCTGCTATGAATGCTGGGTAGCTGAGATAAGGCTTGTGTATACATTTTGCACAGTCTCATGGCACAGTTTTGTGTTGTACGCAGCAAGCAGAAATGAATTATTAAAGTCAGTAAAGTGCAAATATAAGTTAGAATCTGTCTCAGACAGGGTTGTAAATTGTTAACCAGCTTTTTATGCAGTTTGTTATGAAAATATTTATTCCCTCTTCGACAAATCCGACAAAAAACAACAGAGGGCATTATTCATCAGATAATTGGAAGAGATGGAACATACAAAGTTGTTTCTTTAGAAATTAGAAAGGGGATTGTGGGAACTGTGCAATAATTTGCAGCTAAGCCGTGAGAATTCATGCATAATTGTTTTCAAGATAATGGAAGTTTAAGTTCCTTTTATGAGTTCACACAGAAAACTTTTTTAAGTGACCTGAATTTGCCTCTTGCTGCCTGCGGCTCCATGTCGACAGCAGTGCAGCATGGGGTAAAGTCAGCGCTGACATGCAGTGTCTGGTCTGTACGATAGACGGGAGCCATTTAAAAGTAATGTCAGCTGAAGAACTTGTGGTGAAATGAGCTTGTAATCCTCCAACATTTATACAGTATGAGGATGAGGGGATTTCTTCATCGGTGCTGCTCTGCTGTACTGCAGCACAAGCTGGTTCTCTCTCTCTCCATCTCTCTTTAGCCACTGCAGCACCTCAGCTCCCATCTTCCTCTAAACCAGAACCTCTCCCCACTGATTCTCCTCCTCCATAACACACAGTCAGCCTTTCTTTAACAGCTGGAACCATTAGGTTTTATATCACTTAATTATGAACGCCATTCTGTTTCTGCATGATAGGCGTAATAAGTCGCTTAGGCAACATATAGAGCCAGCTCAGCTTTAGCTCTCTGAATGTATGAGTTCATTAGAAAGCTGAGTTGACTGTAAAGTCAGTGATAGCAGGGGATACTCAGGCTGTGCGGTCACATCACTTATCCAGTTCAGCTTTGAAAGTCAAGATAATGAGCAGATTAATATAACTGGCTGACATAATATCTGTTATATGGAGAATGTCTAGGGCTTCAACTAACGATCATTTTCATTATTGATTAATCTAAAAATATTTGTGAAAAATGGCTGCTGTAATTTCTCAGAGCCTAAGCAGCAGCTTCACACAGTCCAAAACCCACAAAATATTCAGTTTACAATGATATATGACAAACAAAAGTCTCAAATCAGCAAATTTTAAGCACAGGATAAGAAGGAACGATACTGCAGGTCCTTCGCTCAGACAGCAGTCAGACTTTAAGAGCATAACACAAAGTAACACTGTAATGTCTCTGTCTCCATCACTTACAACCTTTATTTATTTAACAGGGACAGTGCACAGATATTTAGCTGCACCAGGGTTAGCTATAAACTAATTTTCATCTGAAGTCCCTGGGCAGCAAACCGAGAATAATTTCTCTTCTAAAAGACACTATTATATAAAAAACACAATTTCAAAATCGAACATATTCACGACACAACGGCTTCAGCAACAACAACAACAATACAACTACAACATCATGAGAGAACAAGACATGACAGTTACTATGCACTGTTTAACTTAGGTTACATATACTCATACGTATATTCATGTGTTTATATGTATTTAATTTGTGCAGCTTCACTACTTAATAATATTTACTTCCTACTACGCAACAGTAGTTTTTATATTTCAGTGCTGCACACCATGTGTGCATTACAATTATCCATCATGGACATACAGTGACTGTATAAGCGAAAGGTGTTAATGTTATTTTAGTTTTTATTCTTATTTTATTCTTGTCCTGTTTTTATCTTGTTAAATTTAATTCAACACTTTTATCTTTTGCTTTTGTCTCTTGATCTGCTGTAACAAGCAAATTTCCCCAGTGTGGGATTAATAAAGTTTATCTTACCTTATTTTATCTTTTTCTTATCTTAGCTAATAAAATGACTAAAACAATTATTTGCTTATCAATACTTATTAATATTCTGTACATTGACTGTTTGTTTATTCAGCTAATTGCTGCAGCTCCAATGATTTCAGCCTATTATTTAGTCCACTGTCTGATTCAGTATAAGACACTGGACTTTTGGAAATAAATCTCCTGACACTAAATTTGTCAGATTTGGGCTAAAATTGGCTGTGGTGACTGTGTGCCACTTAAATTGTGTGTAAAGAAAGGTTCCACAACAATGAGCCTGTCATTTATTGTATGATATAATTTTGATTGGCTGTATATTATATATAACAAAGAAAATGAAAGCGGGAATCAGAAAATATTCACATGAAAAATACCAACTAATATTAATTGATTTTCAAAATAGTTGCAAATAATTTTATACCAGCTGGTCCAGGAACAGATTGTTTCAGCTTTATATGAAACAAACAAACACACAAACAAAAATTCTGTAAAGTCTGAGTGTAGCAATTAAAGATCCCAGAATAGTAAAACAGTAGCAATAAAAAGTGGTCATTCATGAACAGCGACAGAAAGAAAGTAGTGTAGGGAAGAGGATTAACTTTTAATGAGAAATATCGAGCAGGACCCTATGTTTGATTAAGTCGCTAATAAGTATGAAATTAGCCTTTCAAGAGACAAAAAGTTAATTTCAAATCAGAGTCAAAGTAACTTCTAACTCTCGTATTTCTAATTTCCTGCCTGCAGATCAGAAATGTTGAGACCAACCAGTGTGTGGACAACATGGGAAGAAAGGAGAACGAGAAAGTCGGCTTTTTCAACTGTCACGGCATGGGCGGAAACCAGGTGAGAGATGGAAAAATACGAACACTTAAAGGTCCAGTGTGTAGGATTTAAAAGGGTTTATCAACAGAAATAGAATATAATATACATAATCATGTTTTCATTAATGTATAATCACCTGACACTAAGAATTGTTGTGTTTTCATTACCTTAGTCTGAGCCCCGCTTATCTGCTCTACATAGAGAGCAGGTCCGCTTCTACAGAGTCCAATCTGTTGCGCTCTACATTTCTACAGTAGCCCAGATTGGACAAACTAAAACTCACTCTAGAAAGGGGCCTTTTGCATTTTTATGTTGCCTGGAAGTCACTGTAGGTTCTCTAAAATGCTTGAAAATGGAGGGTTTTGGAGACGGGTGTTTAGTTGGTTGCAGTCTTTATCCTCACCACTAGATGGTACTAAATCCCACACACTGCTCCTTTAAATGTACTTTTGTTGTTTTGTCATCTGGAGTCTGTTTTAAATCTACACACAATGTGTCATGAACATGAGCTGGAAAATTTCAGAGGTATTTTACAAGTGTTGTAAGTGGAATGTAGAATAAATCTCTTTTAAATGAACATAAACCAGTCGAGCCTTTGATGCTTCTTTATCCTGGATACATGAGCTGTGGGATTTCGTCTTTGCTCGGGAGCTTGAGTTTAATCAGGCTGGACCCAAAGTGTGTGTGAATTGCCAACTTTCAAGTCAGTCCGCACATTTTCAATACAATTCAAGTCGGGGGCTTTTGCCAAGTTTTTCTTTCTTGTTCCTAAAGGCCATTGTTGATCTGGCTCCACGCTGTGGGTCATTGTGAAGTCGCTGGCATTTTACATTCAGTCTGAGCCAAGAATTTGATTGTACTTTGGTCTAATCATTGTCCTCTCTGTCCTTGTAACTCTCGCTGTGGGATATTGTGTGTAGCTGCAGTACATGACATGAGGCAGAATCTCAATGTAACCCGAACTGGCAAACAGAGGAGCAGAAAGCACTATAGGAATTTCACAATCACATTGTCCAGACCTGGAAAAAAACATGTGATGAGTCAAAATTATCATGGACAAATCATGAAATTTAGTTCTATGGATAACCCTCCACATCATGTAACATAACAGCAAATTAATTTTCTGTTGCTGTCAATTAAACACTGAACAAATGGAATGGCAAAATCTTTACTGTGGGTCCTTATGGGAAAAATTAGAGAATTCTGTCCTTGAAAATGTGTGGGAACCCTATACAGTGCCTTATCTAAATCAGTTTTGGCACTACAATAACCATGACTTCTGTTAATCAAAATAAATATGCCTAAATCATTCACACACCCTCTCATCAAAGACCCTTTTCTGAACAATGATTGTATTTCTAGAAAGCCCATTGATGATGCCTCACGTCTTGTTTTGCAGGTGTTCTCTTACACGGCAGATAAAGAAATTAGGACAGATGACCTCTGTCTGGATGTCTCCCGCCTCAACGGACCCGTCGTCATGCTCAAGTGTCACCACATGAAGGGCAATCAGATGTTCGAGTACGATGCTGAGGTAGGATTCATATTCCCCGTAGCGGCCAAATAATCCATAACCAGGCTGCTGTTGCAGGAGGCCATTCTGTGTTTCCTGATGACTGATGTTTTGAAAAATGATTTTGGGTGAAAGGCCAATTGATTGTGTTGTCATTGGGGAGCGTTAAGTGGGGGAAGGAGTACCAGACTGCTGCCACCAGATGGTGCTGTGTGTCAGTTTTTTAGTGGCACAGCAGTTGCTTTTCCGCCTCAGTGGTGTCTCTGCTCTCATGCTCTCTCCTTTCACTCAGTATGTTGGCAAGTGGGAATATGATTTCGAGGTAAGCTGTTCAACTCATAGCTCCTGAATATCCCCCCATAGTTTGAGTACTGTGCTGTGTTGTGATTTATCTCATTACTCTGTGTAAGTGTCAGTGGTTATTAAAGTAGATGTCGTATGGTTAATTATTTTTTGCAGAGGAATGAAGTTGAATCTTTAATGGATTTCGATCCTAATGTATTACTTAAAATTAGTTCTATTTTACTCATCACACAAAATTCTGCACAGCAAATCACCCATTCTTGAGAACTGGGACAAATCATGTCCAACCAAAAAGAAAACCTTAAAATGACACTACTAATTTCATTTCTGGGGTGAAACATTATCTTCAAAGGATTTATATGTATGAAATGAATCTGATTTATAATATATTTTGATCTGCTTTTATTTTTATAACTTCCAAAGTTCCAAACACCCTTGTTCCAGACAAGAATTCACAACTTCAAACAATTAAAAAAATGTGTAAAAGCCTTCAAGATCTCAAACTAACAGTACAACAACAGAACGTTGACGACATGGATGTAAAAATTGACTGCTGTAATCATCTTTGTTTTGAAATTGATTTTTTTGTGAAAGTGTTGGCCTATTAAAAACATGTCCCAGATTTATGGTAACTCCGTCAGATTTCTACAAAAACATAATTTAATCAGGCATAAAAGGGGTTGGCTGTAACCTAAGGACCACTGTCTCACTTTATGGTCTCCAAAAAGGCAGGAATGCTGCTTAAGTGCTAAAGTATTAAACAATATTGCTCTTGGGTGTGTCTCAGCCATAACATGTCAACTCCGCAGCCCTTCTAAATCAAAACGAAACAAGAATAATGATTTAAAAATGAATATTTTGATTATTAGCATTAAGAGGACTAGCCGCTTGGCAGCTTTGGAAAATAAAATGGCTACTCACTACGACTGCTGTGAAACTAATAAATATATAACTTTTTGTCACCTCTGTAAGACATGAGCTCCGTCAGATCTCTGACATCCATTATGTATGCTGTTCAAGAATAATTTAAAACACTGGGAGGCTGGTCCATTACAGAGTTTAAGAGTCAAGACTTTGTCTTTTAAGATACATTTTCCCACCCTTATTGAAGAGTGAAAATCAAAAAAAAACTCAAATAAGGTTTTGTCCTTATTCTCAAGAGTGAGTGAAAAACAGTCAAGTCAGGTACATGCATCTAAAACAAATGCAGTCTAATACAGTCCTACAAAATAAACTTGTTCAGTATGTTCAGTTTTTGTTGAAACTGATTAGGAGAGGTGTTGATTCAACTGTGTGATTATTTTGGAGCAAGGTTATTATATTAAACTAAAAGTCAACAAAAAAGTTACACTGGATGTTAAAACAAAAAATAGTTTAGAAAATCTCTTTGGTTCAGTGTTTGTGAGTTTGGTCAAATTTGTCAGCACAAATGCATGAGGAGACATCGGTGCATATGTTTATTGAGGCTGAATATTGACCTGACTGTGAGTCAAATGTCTGAACAAAGGGTTGTGTGTGTGTTGTAAAACCTATTCTGAACTTTTTAAATCTTGCCCCTGAGAAATACCTCCCATATTATAAATTAAAAAAAAATAACAAAATACCTATCTAAAACTAATACTTAAACAAATAAAATAAAATAAAAATAAAAATAAGAAAAATAAACAAATTAATAAACTGAAACAAGCACAACCACTCTGGAAACTTAACTGAATCTAAACTGAATTGAAAATAAAAATAAGGAAGGAAATGAAATAAAAATAAAAACTATGATGATGCTGTTGAACCATTATTGCATTAACATAGAGATGTTTCTGCTATTTAATTAATCTACCCAAATTGAAATTAATGTGGTGGACAAAATTATTAAAACAACTGCCAATTTGAAAAACAAACCTTATCCTAATGCATTCTCATGTTGTGTGGTACATTACAGACTTTATGGCCTGTAAGACACACTCAGGCGTGACACTGTTGTATATACACAACATATGAATGTGTCAGTGAGTCACAGTTTACTCATTTGTAGAAGCACCGAAATAAAAACATATACAATATGAGTAACAAAGCAAAAATCTGGCAGAATAATATTACTTAATACTCCTGGCTATACAAGCTGTAATATTCTCATAATTTCAGTTTTCAGTCAAAAACAGAAACAGATGTTACGGGCTCGTAAATGAAGAACAGAGAGACATTTTGAATCTCATAGGAGAACAAAAATATTCTCCTCGAGCCCTGTTGACTCAGAACTCAAAGTACATTATGGATTATACAACACAAAAAGCATCTTTTATATTAACAATTTATGCATTTTCTTTTAAACCACTGGGAGAGGGTTATAAAAGAGTGCACAGGATACAGTGTTATCTATCAGTGATTGAGATGTCCAATCGCTGGCATGTAGATATGACAAGGTGAGGGAGCCTGGAGGCCTTTCCATCAAGCAGTGAACAAATCCTGGGAGAAATCCTTTCATTACACTTTGTTCTCAGGGTGCATTCTTAATATGGAAAAGTTGAATAATTCATAAACTAAGAGGACCGGTCTCTGTTGTAAACAGCAGTGGGGTTTCACTGCTGTCAGTGGCCGAGGTTATTTTAAGCCCAAAGTGTGACAGACGGGGACTGAATCCTGGGTGACTACAGTGCCATTAACATTTCATCTGCTCATCAGTTTCACTTTCACAGGGATACCTGACGCTTCCTTTTTCCTGCTGTATTCATTCACAACGGTGACGGACAGCCTTAGTTCTTTTTCACCTGCTCTGCTGTTTGAGCCAGAAATAAGCTGTGTTCAATCTGCTTTGTCCAACAGCCCCACGTGAATATACCAGATACATATTGTGAAGCAAATTATTCACCTTATCTTATTCACACAGAAAATTTAAATCTGCCAAATCTATCCAGCTCTATTTTTTACTTGGTATACATCAGGACCTTTAAAGATCTTATGTCTTAAATATATCTTAAATGCTATTTGACAGGAGAACAGACATCCTCACAACACCTGTATGCGTGTAATGCCCCTGTTTTCACCCCCTCTACACATTAAGATCACGCAATGATTCTGTATTGTTTAGCCGAGGCCTTGCTAGTGAGCTTGCTCTTTATTTCTCTGTGTGGTAAACACAGAAACATCAGTGTCATTTTACCTTCCTGTGTTTACTGTGTTTACCTGGAAATAGTATATTTCCAGTTTTGGTGTGTATTTCCATTGGTCTTAACTTTAGTTTGAAGTTGTATTTAAAGATCATAAAAAGTCCTAAATTTACCTCGTTCATACCTGTAGACACCCTGTACATGTCAAGTCTTGCGTTAATGTAGTAGAGACGAATTCTGTGTTTTTCCAAATGAGGTCTGTCAGGTTGTCTCAGACACAAAAATAACTTAGCTGCCAAAATGTAGGATTGTGTTCTTCAGTGTTTTCTAATTTACACCAGGGCAGGTGTTCAGAAAAATAAAATAATGTAAATTCCTTCACCCTGTTAGTGCCGAGTTTATTAGAGAGATAACATTTTCAAAACAACAACTTTATACTACTGTCGCCTTCACGTCATATGAGATGTATGTTAGAGATGGGAAAGATTCTTATGTTAAGACTTACAAGTGTTCTGTGCATTGACTATATAACACAACGTTCATTAAATTTGGGCTTAATTGGGCGTTCTTTGTCCAGTGTGTGAGGCGGCCATATCTGTTTTATTCTTAGTAAGAAATATCAGAGATGTCAGAGTTTACCCAGTCACAATTAAAAAGCTGGTGTTAAAGCTATTCACAAGTCAGAAATTGTTATGCATGCATTTTTAAGCCACAGGTTGTATCAAAAAATCAAAAAGGTAAAGCCAACATATCAAACATCTGTGCCAAATTTCACCCCAGTTACCCCCTTAGTAACTGATTTAAAAAATTCTTAAAATAAAGGCAAACAGTGTATATCAAAATCCATACAATACAAAAATGAAAGTATCGGGTAAAGGAGAAAGATCAGACAATAATCACTAACCAATGATAAACATATTTTAAAATACATTGTCTCATTTTAAGGATGTTTTTATCAATCATTAATGTGGTAATTGTCTGAGGATGAAATCTAGCTCAGATGATTTGATATTTGCATTACATTTGCACTTTTCATTGGGTCATATCAGTATTTCTAAAGTGATTATCGTGTGAGCTGATGGCTGCCAAAATGCAGACCACTGTACGAGACCAACAAGCAAAAGCATCAGTTGTTTTTTAGCGAACTGTTGCTGTGTTTCCAGCAGCGTTTGTGCCACCAAACGTTTGTGCTTTAAGCCAAAAAGATATCCTCTCCAGCCCAAACCAAGTGGGGCTTTAACATAAACAGACATCAACCACAACACTGTTGAAATGTAGTTTCAGTGTATACACTTCATAATAATGCACAGATGTAACATATCCATGGTTTTTAGAAACATACAATGCCAACATTTACCATGGTGATTGGGATGAGGAATTGAGTCCAGGCTTTGAACAGCGTAGATAAACAACACACATTTTCTATGTGAATTAACTGTCATTGAAAAAAATCACCTGTTATTAAAGTGGAAACGTTGGCTGTGAAGAACAGATGGATTCATTTAACAATAATTGATGACTCTCAGACTTACCTTCACTACCATCTGTCCCTTTCACTTCTGACTCGCCGCAGAAGCACACCTTCCTCCACATCATCACCCAATCATGTCTGACCAT